ATTTAGAAGATATTCGGATCCATAGACTAAAATGACTCACCCTGTATATAAATTAGTATTATTTGAAACCTATCTATGTAGAGTCCTTATTTATAACGCTTCAAGATTTGTTACGCTTGGTGGAGGAGGAGAACTTGTTGCAACGTAATTTGTTTTCGCAAGGCTTAAACGCACTCGCAAGTCCGCGTGACAGATGAAGGATCGGAAGGATTTACTTTATTTTACTTTACTTACCTTTACTCCGTCGCAGACGTACGTTTGGTTCCTTTTAGGTCGAAGAACCTAATCTTTTTAGCTGAGACGGACCACGTGAACGAATAGTTGGGGAAAGAACGAATAAAAAGGGATTCATTAATTTATGAGGAAAAAAAAGATTTATTTTGACAAGAATCCCAGTAAGAAAAGTAATAGCTTAATTAGCTTATATCCTGTACTATGACAAAATACGCATAAGCAGTTCCAAATAGAAATAACACAATATATCTACCTACAGTATCTATTTATTTGGACAACGTGGTGCCTATAGCACGATATTATCACGTCGCTTCCCAACAATTTAATGCAGACCAACTTCTAATATTATATATGGATGGATTTGGCATGAAATGCTCTACAATTTTTGTCCTTACAAAAACTTAAAAATTTTGCAAAGGTAACGAATTGGAGGGTTAAAAAATTTGACATTTTTTTTTAATTTGAATATACCATTGCAGAGTATTAAATACTGTACAACTTTTGTAAAAAACATTTTTTCATATACCTTGTATTTTAAGAAATATTCAATAAAAATGAAAAAATCCTTTTTTCTCAAGAGGCTGTTTCAACCCCTAAACCTTGAGTTCGGCCGATAAAAAAAATACGTGTGTCTAATAGTTTTTGATGCTCTACAACATATCCAAAGCGCATCAAAATCGGTGAGGGACAGTTCTGTCAGGTTCCTTGTCAGATGAGATACCCAAATGTGAATTTGAAATTCGATGTGAAGTTTTCAGCTGAATTGCGATAAATGCAATGTCGCATATATTGTGTGTTTTAATTAAAAAAACTCGAATCTAACTCTAAACCTGTATCTGTGAATCTCTCACATGGGATAAGTTTCAAGTAATGACTATTAATCTTTGGACTTCTAAATGGGATGAGTTGCTCACTTTATAAATAATTTTTTTAGAATAATTCTACCAGAAAAGTTTAATCATTTTTGTGGACTTTTGTAATTAATTTTTAAGTTATAAACTTTTGTTCGAGACAAATACAAAATATATGATATACATACATGATATATATGATATACAATTTTCAAGAAGATATAATTTATTTAGTCGAGGCGAACCATTCGTTCCTCTTGGGAACTTATGTTTGCGAAATTAATACAAGAATCGAAAGATACAGACTATAGACATTTAAAAGTACACTGAAAGAAACAAATGGCTAATCTAACTAAAATTACTGTTATTTTTGGCCTCAGCCATATTTTTTTATTGTTCTAACACGAAAATTGTAATAGCAACACGCATACAAGATTATTATCATTAACATTACAGTAGAATTTAATAAAAAAAATAGTTCTCTCTTTGATCATAATTTATAGTAATTATATGTGTGATTATAGTTACAAATACCAAACATTGTTTTCTCAGTGTATGGCTATAAGCATATATTTAGCTACAAAATCGATCTATGGCAGCGACAGTAAGCAAAAGTTTTAGTTGCAGCAGCAAAGTTTTAATGGCAGCAACAAACACATTGTCGGCAAACCAAATAACTAGTTGCGGCAGTGAAATTGTTTTCCCGTGCGTGTTAGCAATTTTCGAGCTGTCAAATTGCTCCTTATCGACAGATCCGGTTTGTTCTCACGGAACACTTCCGCCTCGCGCGATCACTCCTTTTATTTTCGAATATATATCTATTCGCTTTCGCTCTCGTCGATGCGTTAACGCTCTTGCGCGCGCGTACTTTCTACCGAGCAACGCGGCAGAGGTGCAACCTTGTATTCGAAACGCGAGAAAACGCAGTTTTTGACGCACGAACCATGACAAGCGCGCAGTCCTGTCGTGAAACGAAGGGCCGACTACTTGACGTGTAGAAAATAATTTCTAGATAGAGACGTGCTCGAATTTTCTTCCTTGAATTTTCATTTATGTGGAAAGAGAAAATATCGAGATACATGGTGAAACATCGAAACGTCGATTCGTGTCTCCTTCAAGGTAAAACGACATCGTCATTTCGCCTACTCCGATCACCAACTAAATGACCGGGGCTATGCGTGAGCGATGTCTTACACGCGCACACATACACGCATACGCATACATCTTCACGCTTATTTCGTCGGCGCGAGGTCCTCTTCGACGTAGAGAAGTGGGAGAGGACGAGTGACCACAGTATTCACCCCTCTTCGCGGCGCCCTGTTCGCAAGGTGGCCACAGGTGACTTCGTCGTTACGCGATCGTGCCGCGATCATTCGTAAAGCTCACCTTCGAACGGGCGGACAATGCTAAGACCGCGAGACGTTCGGTAGCACGCACGATTATCCTCGATCGGATCCTGCGCCAGATCCACGATCGCGATCGACCCTCTACTCGAGCGGGACGTTCCTCGGTGATTCGAACGAACAACGAACTTCCCGCTGAAATCGCGACGAGGATCTCCGATGAGTCCCCCTTGCATTGTTTGAGGAAGAGGTCACGCGAGTGCGAACGTTAGACCACTCTGTGATCGACGACTAGCTGTCGATCTACGGGAGAACGGCGACTTCTGGGCGATCGCGGAAGAAGGAAGGAGAGAAAGTCCTCCTAATCGCGTGATTAGAAAGATTTCCGGCAAGTGGAAATTCGTGGGACCAGTTTCTCGGGTTTCGCCGATAAGGAAAAGAGGATGAGGACGTTTCTCAGAGTTTGGGCATATCTCAGTTTAATCGGTTTGTCGCGCGCCGGCGAGCCGGTAGACGTCCTGACGCCCAGGAGTCTCGGCGCCTTCGAGGAAGAGGAGATACTACGTGTGCTCGCGCGCAACAAGACCTACACAACTAAGAACTACACTTTCGTCGAGTTGATCAGCAGTCTCGGCAATTACACGGTCGATACTGAGAGGGATATATGGAGCATTGGCAAGCCGGAAGTGTATCACACCAATCCGCATTACGGTAAGTTCTGCGGAGTACATCCTTAACCCGTGAAATTGGAAGGGCAGTGCGGCCCTTTGCGTGTATATCGTTAATATCTTTTAATAATATCATTGAACTTAAGCCATTATTATTGTATTAATAATTTTTTTATAATATAACTGCTTCTTTCTCGATTACCGTATAAGTAAACATTTAAAAAACATAAAACGTATATAAATAAATATAAAAATATTTAAATACATAAAAAAATATACACAGGGTATCCAACTATTAATATCAAGTAAAACTAAACGCAAAATTTCTCCATCATTTTGTAAACAATCACGCAAAATTTGAAGTTGGTAACTGAAGAAGATTCGTGAATGATCATGCGCGATCATTCGATAAATAAACTCTGATAGCGACGTCTGTCGTCATATATGTGTACATTGACTGAGCAAAAAAGTCCCTTACTATTTTGCAAATAACCACATGGATTTTTAGTCATTGATTAAAGAAAATTGGTATATTATCGCGCATAATTATACAGAAATCTTGCTCAATTGATAATTAAAAATCGACGTGGCGCCATTTGTAAAATGATACAGGATTTTGTTGTTCAGTTTGACTTAATGTATAAGCAAACGACAGTAGATGTTGCTGTCGCAGATCATTTATCGTATCGCGCGTGATCATTAAAAGAAAATCTTCGTTGATTAAAAATCCCAAAATTTACGTAGTTGTCGCGAAATGCTGGAGTAATTTTGTGTTCAGTCTGATGAGTTCTACTATGAGACACACGACGGATGTTTTAATTGTCAGACACCCCATACATATGAATGCTTATCTATTTTTTCTTAATATTGATATATTGTGGATTTATGCATTATGTATGCATGTAAATAATCATATATATATATATATATATATATATATATATATATATATAAATATTTGTATATTTTTTTCTCTATTTATTTATTATGCATTCATGCATTATGCATTCATATATATAATATGGTAATACTAAGTAGCATCTCACACAAAGAAGTATATTACATACAAATTAATAAGAGATGAGACAAGGTGCGCGAAAAGCTTCTCATTATTACACTCATTATTATACACGTGGCGTACAGTGAATAGTAATTAAACTATCGGCTTCTTTAGTCGCTAATAATTAAGATTAATACGTTCCATCAAGTTTACGCGCTCGGAAATGCATCGAATACAAATCGCGCTCACAGAAAATGAAACGTTCGAGTTAAGGCATTTCCTGGTAAGCGCAACGTATCTTCAACATCGGATAATTTGTAAACGCGTAAGTAATTTTCAGGCTCATTGACAGGTACGTTGACAAACGTCCGTGCTCTGTGCAACATGAAACAATAAACGAGTGCCGCCGTTCCATACCGCCGTTTGTGCATCCTGCGTGCGCCGGCTTCATATTTTAAATATCGATCTCACTAGTCACGAAATACACGCGATATTTACACGTTTGACAGTCCCATGACAAACAAGATGCTATTAACTTGCGATTAACCAGGTGGTTAGCGCTTCGAGTAAATGATTTCGCGCGCTTTGTCAGCATTCCACTCATTGACCGAATTCATCTCGCTCGAAAGAATGATTTGGCTGCTTTTGTTGTATCCCGCACCAGCTTGCAGTTACGTTCACGATATCACGTTGGCACTGTATGAGAAAAATCTACGAATTTCATCCGCGAATTTTAATCACGAATTCTACACAAGAAGACGGGAACCACGGCTAGTTCATAGACGTCGAAGACTGGACGTTTATTCAAGCGAAAAAGTCGATTAGTGATCAAGTTTGAGGGCCAAGATTTCGGAATTCTCTGATTCACAAGACGCGCAGTCGTTGAGATATTGAATTCAGAAATTGAAGTCAAAATTCAGATATTAAATTGAAAAAATATACAGATTTCTTCAACTTTCATAGAAAGGAGTATTATCGCAGTTCTTGACGTGCGAAATATCATCCTATCGATTAAATCGACTCTGTTATCGAATACGTGATATAACACTTTGACGAAGTATGTTACATTACCGCCCGGCCACAAGGTCAGGTGCGAAAAATGCGTCACGTTTGCAGAAAATGCATCGACCTTAATTGCTCCGACTAGAGATACTCGCGATACGTCCGCGGACTCGTCCGATTCGCGGCGACGCGTTAATGCGCCGAAAATCTTACGCAGCTCACACTAATGAGGGCCGCATCAGCATGCCTCACCTAAAACTAATCAGCATACTTCTACCTGACAAACAGAAGGCAAAACTACTTTCGTTATTTCGACATGCGTGATATTCGAAAGCGATTTTAGTCGTGGTATCGTATGCATTATGCACCGACGTGTCGGCGAACGTGACTGCAAGCTGATGCAGAGCGCGGGATACAACAAAAGTAGCCAAATATTGAGAATTTTAATATCGGACTTTACTCTGATTGTTTTCAACACACGAACCTCTTTCGAAATCGAACGCCCACGATTTCCTCCTTGCGCTCACCTTGTCCCTACTCCTTCATTCGAAATCCATCAATAAAGCAACGCGAAGTTTCCTTTATATACGAGACTGTATATAAATAAATATAAAGTATATAAGGTGTCCGACAAATTGTTATGCAACCGCGATATGTGCGGGTAGAATTCGTCACACTGAACACAAGACCCCTTTATTCTGCAAACAATTAAAATTGTGAGTTATTAAGCAAAGAAAATTGGTGGATAATCACGTGCGCATTACGGTAGAGAGCTGTTATGGCGACATATGCCTCCGTGTGCTTGTACATTAGGTTAAAGTGAATAAAAAAGTTCTCTACTATTTTAAACGCAAATGACAACGTGGATTTTTAGTTATTGATTAAAGACTGGGGTGTATTATCGCACATAATGCATTATCGCGCATGCATTGTGATGTACAATCTTCTAATAATTAATAACTAAAAATCTACGTGATTACTTGCAAAATGGTAAAATACGTTTTTGTTCGCTCTCGATTAATATACAAACACACTATAACAGACATCAGCATCGCGGCTCATCTACCTATCGCGTGTGATCATTCGCCAGTTTTCTTCATTTAATAAATCAAGATTTTACATAACTGTGAAACCGTAGAGGAGTTTTATGTTCAGTTTGACGGATTCTACTTACCACCACGACAGCATAACGAATTGTCGGACATCCCGTATATGATTCGGAATAATGTATTTTATTTGAAAACTGTTACGAACATGTGCTGTCCACACACACATTAGAACTTTACGCAGCTAAAATTTATCTTAATTAATTTAAAATTTATCTTTCATTTGAAAATTACTTATTATTTCATATAGAATGATCCTCGAAACAAGTTTCGACGTGTGATCTGTTCCACATAACTCGAATTATGCAGTCACGGAACGATTTCGCGCGACATCGCGTCTTATCAATATCCAACCCGATCGGAAAATAGCTTCCGCGCTCGTCGTGTCATTATTTCAGCACACACGCTTCAATGGTTTTACTCGCGTCTATAAATAACGAAATCCGCTTTTTTCCGGGCGTGACGGCTAATATAGTTTTGGCATAGCGAAACAAAAATATATTCGCTTTATGTGCAAATATGTGTGATTTATCATCGAGAACCGGTACGGTTCATTCGACAGACCGGTTCATTTCGCAAATTATTACGCGACTCTATCTCTGACTGCGAATCTGGATGCGGCCCAGCGGTATTCTGTTCAGGTTTTCAAATACCTTACAAGTATTTTTCGCGTCTATTATAAGATAAGCTTCCATGAACTGACTTGACTCTTTCTTTTATCGCGAAAGCAGATCCCATTGATCACGAATTTCACCAGCCAATTTTTACGTCAATACCGAATTTACTGTTGATTACCGACGGCAGGATTTTTCAGAAAATTGTGCAATCCGCCAGTGTATGCGCGAGTTTCAAATAACATTATAAAAAGCTTCGCGCGCGAAAAGCGGTATGTCTCATTGTTGCTATAATTTTGCTTGTGCGAGCAAATTGTAATTTTTGTAAATCAGGACATGTTCCACGTATTATAAAAAAAAGAAGGAAGAAATAGAGTTTAGCACTACCGAATGTAAGAACGTTCAATTTCGCCACGAAAGAGATCCTACTGGATTTTCAATTTTTCTTTTCTATCCTGGACGTTTTTCCGACAAGAAGCGGCTTCAGAGATATTAGCGCTGAAGATTACTCGCGGGAATATTTTGTAGTGAAACGCAAAAATGATCGTCTCGCTATTTCCGAGAAGTTTTGCATTGTAACGAGCCGGATAACAGGCGTATAACACGATAACAGCAATAATGAGAGACCTCGACTTACGATGCTTCGAATCGATTGAAGTTAAGTTCTATTCGCTAAGCAATCCGCACTCGTAACTTCATTAGTCATGCATAATGGATAATAATGAAATCAATTTGAAATCAACACTTCGCTGAATTAAGAGGATGACTCATAATGCTCATTTAATAAAACGCTGACTCGCGCAATCAAGGATTCGGCAATGGACTTGGGAATTTCGTCGCGCGACAGCGTCACTCGTCGAAAGTACCGAAAAACCTCAGCATCGAGTTCCGTACAAATGAGAGAGAATCAATTCAGCCGAATTTTTTCTTCGTTTACGCAATATTTCAATGACGACGAGTAATGCCTGCGATATGATGCGCGACAAAGCCCCTTGACGCCACGAAGATCATGTGTCGCATCAGTTCCTTCAGTTTTATTCGCGCTTCAATGAATAAGAATCAGTAGGAAAGTAAAGGAGATTAAAGGAAGAGAAAGGATTCACACACAATGTCGCGTAAGCTAATGTCGCGACATGATTCCTGCATCTAATAAATTTCGTCTTACTGATAATATTGCAAAGAAAGTATACGAGCAAAAAAACATCAAGAAATCCGTTTATCGACGCGAAATTAAGCAAATGTAGATGAATTTGTGATTTAATGAGGAACCGTCGGTGTGTATGTGTGTATGGCAAAATGAATAAGATGAGATTGACATCGA